AAAATTTTAAAAATAACGATTATGACAATTGTCACATATCTATGGTACATCTTCACTGAATTTTAAATTAAACGTATTTACAGCCTATATTTTTATTTATTTGCGTCAAAAAACTTAAATAACGATTATGACAATTGTCACTTATCTAGGGGAAATCTTCGCTGAAATTTTAATTTAACATATTTACAATCTATATTTTTACCTATTTGCGTCAAAAAACTTTAGAAATAACGATTATGACAATTGTTTCTTTTCTATGGTATATCTTCACTGAAATTTTAATTTAAAATGTTTACAATATATATTTTACCCATTTGCTTTAAAAAATTTTAAAAATAACGATTATGACAATTGTCACATATCTATGGTACATCTTCACTGAATTTTAAATTAAACGTATTTACAGCCTATATTTTTACTTATTTGCGTCAAAAAACTTTAAAAATAACGATTATGACAATTGTCACTTATCTAGGGGAAATCTTCGCTGAAATTTTAATTTAACATATTTACAATCTATATTTTTACCTATTTGCGTCAAAAAACTTTAGAAATAACGATTATGACAATTGTCTCTTTTCTATGGTATATCTTCACTGAAATTTTAATTTAACTTTACAATATATATTTTACCCATTTGCTTTAAAAAATTTCACAAAATTTTAAAAATAACGATTATGACAATTGTCACATATCTATGGTACATCTTCACTGAATTTTAAATTACACGTATTATTTACAGCCTATATTTTTACTTATTTGCGTCAAAAAATTTCCAAAAACTTTAAAAATAACGATTATGACAATTGTCACTTATCTAGGGGAAATCTTAACTGAAATTTTAATTTAACATATTTACAATCTATATTTTTACCCATTATAGCGTCAAAAATAAACTAATATGTTTTAAAATACAGATTATGATATTTGTCATTTTTACAAAGGAATATCATCATTGTATTTATACTTTAACATATTTATAAATAAATTATATTTTTACCCTTAGTACCAAAAATTTCAAAAATGTTAAAAAATAACATGACAATTGTCACATTAAAATATTATAAATATCATAAAAATTTAATACAAATATTTATAAATTATTTAAACTAGTTCTTTTAATATACTAAAAAAAATAGATAATTTTACAAAAATGATAAAAATAAACCTATAAAAGATTTTAACTAAAAGATTTATAATTCACAAAAAAATTAATTAAAAAAGAAGATTTTAAATTCTTATCAATTCAAATTTTGCTTAAAATTTTTGCATGAAAACCACAAATTAATTGTAACAAAAATAATATTATACAATACCTATTCGAAATATTCGTCCTCTAGTCGACTTAAGTTCACGACTCAAATGGAAATCTCATGTTCTCGACTCAAGTCGACTTGAGTCGGCTTGAGTTCACGACTTCAGACTCTGAGTCGGAGTCGGGTGAACTCGACTTTTTAACAACACTATTTCCTGGAATCTTGTTAATTTATAGAATAGGATTAAACCCATGTCCACGCCCATTTTATCTGTTGATAATTTGTTGGATGAGGTTATTGAACAAGTTGGTTTAGAGATACAACTTAAAGAAAGGCAGGAGATATTTAAAAGAGGGCTAACGATTGCAGAGAAAGTATTGGAACTATAATTATTGAATTTGGCGATTTTAAAAGATTGGATAATAAGGAACATATTTTGCATTTTTGGGAGTCTGTTAAACTGCAGTACCCTGATTTATATATTTTATCCAAAATCTTATTTGATATTCCTGCATCATATTTTTATATAAATATATTTAATATTAGCGTTGAAAGATCTTATTCACATTTGAAATTCATTTTTTCACTGCATAGATCGAGGATGTTAACAACTTTTGGAAGATATTATGCTAATACGTCTAAATAAAATAAAAATTTTATTTTTTATACTAAATTTATGTCTAGTTTTGTAATTATGATTTAAATATAGGATTTTTTTTATCAATTCAAAAATTCCTAAACCCGAGGTGAACCCCGCTTTTAAAATATTTCCCTGAACCGTACCGAACCTAGCTAAAATTTTGCCGTATTCACATCCCTGCTAATGATATTTTAGACTTTTCTCTTAGATTGAGGAAGCCTAGGCAAAATTTACATTTACTAAAGTAACAATCAGGAATTGCAGAGAGAGATTGTGCAATACAATCTTATAATATTCAATGTGGAATATATCATGAGACATTAATTGTGGAAATCTTCCGCCGTTCAACATCAATATTTGAAATTTTTGATGAATAGTGCTTATGCACATAGCATAGGTTCCTGGTCCTCCAGGTAAGTCGCAATATTTTGGTCTTAAATAAGTAAATTTAATGCACATAGCATGGGTTCCTGGTCCTCCAGCTAAGACACAATATTTTGGTCTTAAATAAGCAAATTTACTTAAGTCCACTTTTATGTCACAATGAGTTTCTTTAAAATAAGAATATAATTCCTTAAAATTGCATAAAATGAATCTTTTCTGCAATTGGCACTTCTCTCCTTTAACCTTTATTGATTTAAAATTGTTTTTACCAGACATTTTACTACTGTTTTCATCGGAATTATGAATTTTTTTAAATAATATCATCTTGAAAAACACTCCCAGAGGAAGTACATTTCCTAGACCTTCACAACGTTTTATCCAAATTGTGCGAATCTTAGGAAAGATGTAAATATATTACATAAATTAACAATAGTCTTTCCCCCCCCCCCCACTTACGAATTTTTACAATTGACTAATGATTAAAATGCCATATCTCCTAAACTTGAGCTCAGCCCAACTTGATATTTTGCAAATTTATTAATTAGTTCTATATATAAAAAAAAATTGAGAAAAAATTGCCGATGGTTTGTGACATTTAGATTTTTTAAACTATCTTTAATATTATATAACTTTAAAGGGATACCATTAGGTTATATAAAGAAATTTAAATGACACTTTTACCTCAATTATATTTAAAGATATCCAAATTTTGCCCAAAATGCCCCATTTTTCGAACTTTAGAGGCCCTTATCTCAGCCGCTGTTTAGAATTCGAGGCTAAAAATTTCTTTTTCTTAGTTATAATTTATGCAAACTAATAAAAATTTTAGAAAAATCTGAGGGGGTCGGGTTGAAACTCATGTTGATTTATCATAGAATTCACCATATATACTATTAGAGGAACCAAAGTATGCATACATAGGAGTCGGTCGTAACGTCATTTTGTGATTTGCACGCCGACCAATTGTCTTAATCGTCATTATATAGTAATGTCATTTAATCGACGTGCAAACTAGAGGTCTGCAAATGGCAAAATCTTTAAAATAAGTTAGGCTTAAAATTTTTTTGTTGATGAATCAAGATTATTTTTAAAAAAATGTATAAAAAAAGTTTTAGAAATTAATTCTTGCAAAGTTAAAGAATTTTATTTTTGCTGTTTAAAAAAGTAATCATATTATCCTATGCATTTCAAGTATTTTATATACGATAATTTGTATTTAAATACTAATAAAATATTCATTTGTACAAATTTTTGAAAAGAAAGTTACTTACAACTAGATATGGCTTACAATACCAATATAATAATATCGAATTCAAATTATTGAATTGGTTTAAACAATATTTTCTCTATATTGTATGGTATTTGTTTTAATTATTATCCAGTGTTTAAAATGAACATCATTTTCAATAAGGTGCTATATTGTCCTTGTTCATTAGAGAAGCTTTGATGATCAGCATTATTTAAGTTTTGATTCATTATATTTTTGACTTCAATTGCGATATTCTAAATAAATAATTAATATGAATGTATTTCCATAGATATAAAAGTATTACTATCACAGATGCTAAATTTATATAATAAATGCAGAGATCGATATATTATGTAATCTTACTAAAGTAATAATTATCGCACCAATATATTTTATGGTTAAATTCAAAACAAAAATATATTACTTGTTAAATCTAAATTAGACATATAAGGAAATATTTTTAGCTTTTTCCGCAAGTATTTATATTAATATAGCATTACTTTTGGATTGATTTATATGCTATTGGTATTGGGCACCTAGTTTTATTGATTTTAAAAACCAATACTATATCTGATTTAATATTATCTTAGTATTGAAAACCAAGAAATATTGGTCTTGTTGCGAGTCCTACTTAAAACCACAAATTTTAAAAATAAGAAAGCATATTTTTTATAAATCAGAGAATAAAGCATATTTATCTTATTTTTTTAAAATAAATTATTATTATAAATTAATCTTTTTCTTTAAATTTATATTCGACATATAAGAGAATAAATAATTTTTTATAAGATCTGGCACTGTACCCGATAAGTAAATAATAATTCCAATCCATAACCGATATTTTTGTGGGTAACTGACACTGTCAAATAGCAATAGGCAAGATTTTTTAAAATTTCTACTGATTCTTAAATGTTTAAAAAGTATATCAAAAGGTCTAAATCGATCTACAGACCTTTTTAAAGGTTTAGGTTTGGGTGGAAAATTTTTGACGGTTTAGGTTCCGTAAATAATAACGGTTAATACGAGTTTAACGGTTAGATTAGGATCCCAAGCTTGCTGATCCATCGTTTTTTAATGTTTTTAACCGCCGCCTATGGTTTGTAAAAATAAAATCCTTCCACCCGTTAATTTGCTTTAAAAAATGTTGTAACACCCCTACCTTCATGTTTAAAAAATATTTTATTTGTTATTTTTTTAATTTAATTTTTATATATTTATACTTAAGTTAAGCTTAACTGATAATTTTGTAATAAATAATCGATTTTAACAAATATAAGTTGGTTCTGTTTATTTCGTTCGTAAAATATCTAAAACCCATACGTCCTTTGGCTAATTGTTTTGAAAATATTTCAAACCCTCCCGCCCATTATTTAATTTTAGCTCGCCCGAACATAGTAAGTGTGCGGAGAATCCGCTTGCATATAAACCTATTAATTAAAATGATTAATTTTAACATTTATCATCAATCAAGTGCTTGGATGCAAGAAGAATGCATCAAGAATTACTCCGAATTTCGCGATAAATTCATTCAAGCTATCAAGCCAGCCCAACTCAAGGACGCCATTGAAAAATCCGAAACAGTTTTCGGCGATTATTTGGTCTATAAAAAGGTAACTTATCAGTGTTTATATATTTATTTTATTATAATCGAATGAGGAAAAAAGGAAAGAAGATTGAAAATAGAATTGAAGGGTAGAAAAAAAGAAAGAGAAGAATAAGAAAATAACAAGGATTGAAAAAGATGTAATAACATTTTTTAAAAAATGAAAAAGCAAATAAAGGAAATTAAAAAATTACCATTAAATTAAGGTGGTTATGAAAATGTTACTATTTATTTATCCGCTGAATAAAGCGGGAGAATTATAGGAGCTCTAGGAAAATAATATTTAGATTATTTCTACTTTTTTTTTTATTATTTAGTATGAAAACATATATTTTTATACCACATTGGGGAAAGAAAAAAGAGGCCGACGAGGAAACAAACGCACGTGACGCTTTGCCGAGTATTAAAGACGAACTTGATGCTATCTATTCTTCCCGTCATGTGACTAACATGAAAATGAAAAAAGAAAATGGCACATCTTCCTTCCTTTCTTCTGCTTCCTCTCTGCTCGGGGGGGGTGAAACCTCACCCCAAAACACGAACGAATATGTGAGGAAAAATCAATTAAAAATAAAAACTAGAATAATTTCATAGGACTTAGATTATTTGACCATTGACAACCTTTAAAAGTTACCACGAGTTTCTTTAGTTGTTATATTTAAAAGTTTATCAATCAACACTCTTTAGCTTCATTGGTATTATTTAAAGTATGACTATCATATCTATATAATTAAAATATATGTAGGAATTTAAAAAAACTTATTAACCTTTGAAGGGTTTTGTGCGGTATAGCTATAGTTGCTCTGCACCTCATAAATGTTAAAAATCTATACCATGATATAACACTTTTTTTTCAATACTCCTATTTTATGCAGAAGTATAAACTCTAAAGTTTTATTTATTTTGTATATTGGCTGTTTTTGAAAGTTTTATTTTGGCTTTCCAAAAAATGAAATAAAAAGATGAGTTTAAATATAAATATTTTCTATAAAAAATCAAAATCTGATGATTAAAGATTAAATAAATATTTATCGTTGAATTATCGCATGTTTTTATCGTGAACATAAGATAAGTTATATTAGACCTACAAAAATCAGAATCGAATAATTCCTTATTCTTATTTATACTAATTATTATTCTATTAGGAATAATAAATTTTTTTAATAAATATTTTCAAAAGTTTTGTAAATGTTATAATAAATTTAGAAAAATAAATAGTTCCCCAAGAAACATGTGGAGTGCTTAGGAATAATAAACCTGTGCGCCGATGTCTCAATCAACGGCGGAGGTTTTTTAATTTTTTTTATCGGCGTTAATATTTATTTTAAAATATTTAAATGAATTTTATTTATAAATCAATTTATTTTTTAATAAATTTAATTTATAAATTAATGTATTACATTTTTTATAATTTATTTGGGCGATCTTTTCTAACACATTGTTAACATAGTTTAATTAATCATAAATAATTTCCTGTCTCACTCCAATTTAAATTTATGTATTTTCTCATTCTCAGAAATAAACTAAGGAATTGTATTTTTACTCAGATCAGAGTCACATCAACAACACATATAAGAAATATTCTATTGATTTTTATTATAATTAAAATAAATTTGGAATGCAAGCAAAATATAAAGTATGAAATATAATAAGTCAGAATTCAGATTTAGCAAAATTATAATTGTCATGAATAAACAGTATTTTATCAAGATTTGTGAGACATAAAGAAGTCCTAGCATTGAGTATTAATCCAGCAATGGAAAAAATTATTTCGCTTAGTGTACTGGTTCCAGGTAAAAGAACCTTCCTAGCTTAATTAGCAAGCATAGGAAGTTCCAGTCGCTTTTTCTTCCAAAAGATTAATGCATCCTTTTCTGGGATATTATTTTGGCTGAGCAAAATATGGCATTCTTGTTCTAGATTACTAATATTGTTATAATCGTTACGGGAATGTTTACGAGCTAATTTAGCTATATAAGAGCTTGATGTTTGACCATTATCCTCAACTTGAATTTCACTTTGTGAATTTCTATCATGCTCTAAAAGTTTTAAATGTTGAATTAAAAATTGCAATGTCGTAGAATTCGAATTTAAATATTCTGAAACAACTTTGAGATTTTGAAATGGGATCATGTAGAGTTGCTAATATCTAATGTTTAAAATATAATTTTATTAATAAAAATATAAAATAACTTGAGTAATGGGAAACCTATGGTCAAGCTTTTTTTTCATATTTTCTTCTAAGCATATAATATCGGTATATGAGCTTCTATTTCACTGCGAAATAATAACCCTAAGTTTATTGTCGATCCTTTTTGGGAGGAAAGAAATTTCACCGACTCTAGGAATGGATTCAATACTGCGTAAAGCTCATTAATCATATCCCATTCATTATTAAAGAGCTTTAAAGATTGTTTTCCTATTTTATTTAGAACATTATTTATAGGAATTTTGTTTACACTGCGAACACTTTCTAGCATAATTAATATGCTATACCAGCGGGTAGGGCAATTTGATTTTAAAGTTTTTGCATTAATTAAATTGGTTGGTGCAATGCCATTTCTATTATCCGATTCATTAGACATATCAAAATGGTCATCAAGGTATGGATCAGAATCATCAATATCCAACATATTACCTGTCTCATAAATTGACTGTAGACATTTACGATGTTCAGCCTCAATTTCACATTCCAAATCAGCTACTCGATATCTGAGGGCTGAAATAATTTCTCTAATTTTTTTAATGAGAATATCAATTTTGGTAACTTTTTTTATGTCATCAACTGTAACCAAATTATGAAGTCCATGCTCTAAGCATAAATGATGCTCATAATCCCCTAATCTGACGCTTCTTTTGACATTGGCCCCAGCATCAGTTACCATTTGTATTATTTTGGCTTTTAAATGGAACTCCTCTTCAATATCAATCTCAGATAATATTGTTTTCCCAGTATGCTTTTGAGTCACATTTCTAGTTGCTAGAATAAAATATTTTAAATCAAATTTTCATCTAAATTATGAAGATTAGATGTGATATAATTTCGACGCTTGAAATGATCGGTCCATAAATCAAAAGTGATAGAACAAAATTTTGGTCCAGAATCAATCAGATTTAAAACATGCGCCTTTATAGATAAATAAACATCGTTTCGTGCACCCCGACTAATGGTTGTCCTATTTGGTAATTCTGAAGAGGAATCAATAATCTTATATTTCTATTTTATAGGCAATTTATTTTTTAATAATCATTTTATATAAATTTTAATTGTTTATAGAATCAAATGGCATTAAATCTAAGCAGCACATCAAAACATAATTTCGCCCTATTAGATTTCATATTTATTTTAAATATTAAAAAGATAATTAAAAAACATCAAAATAATTAGAGCTTGGAATGAAACAAATTAAAAATTTGATTTAGTTTTAACCTTCAAAATAAAGTTTTACATAATAAATTATTTATTAAGTTTATACATTAAAAAGACATTTAAAAAATATAATAATTAGAGTTGGAATGAAACATAATTAATTTAATAAATTATATATAAGTTTATACATTAAAAGATCTCGAAATAGAGCTGGCAATAAATAAACTATTAATAAATTATATATTAAGTTTATACATTAAAAGATCTCAAAATAGAGCTGGCAATAAATAAACTAAAAATTTAGTTGTTTACTTTCAAAATAAAGCTTAATAAAATTAATATTACAAACCAGTTAAAAATTTTAAATGAATATTGATAAACAATAATACCTATGAGCTAAATGGATTTATTATTATTCATTTTTTCTGTTAGTTTGTTATAATTATAAGTGCCGAGATAGATTACTTTTTTATACTAAACATTTTATTTCATAGCTAAAATATAAAATATATATAAATATAAGTCTAAAATAAAAATAAATTAGTGTGAAAATGAATTATGTTTATTCCAATCTTCCTAATCTTTTTTCGCCAATTTTAAGCAAGGTTCACAATAAATATAATCAGGCATTATTGTGCTTTTCTTATTTTCATTCTTCAAAATAAGATTTCCAAATTACCTCCAGGCATAACTTGATTTATGATTAGTAGAGAGAGTTGTTATTTCATAATTTTATTAGGGTGGTTTAAAACGTGCAAGTCCATAAAAATAATTAATATGAAATGTTTGTGGAAATAAAATATGATGTATGAATGAATGTAAATGATATACACTAGTCTATTAAATATAGCAATAGAATACAATTCATATTTTAATTTTATTAATGTTAGTGTTCAAATTAAAATAATAATAAATTAATATATAAATATAATTAATATACTTTCTAAAAATTACACACGCCGCGCCGCCGCCATAATAAAAATCTGTGGCGAGCCGGCTTGCGCCGATGATCTTGATCGGCGGCTTTTCCGGCGTGAATAAAAATACCGGCGGCGCACAGGTCTAGGAATAATTAATTTACCAATAATTTCGAATATTTTCCAACATTTAAAGTGATTTCGAATAATTTGACGATTATTTTTATTCTTAATGGTATTCGATTTGAATCTATTAATCCAATGATTTTTTAAAATTCCTACTCATAGAATACATGTAGGATAACGATGTATTTTTTAGGCCTATGCTATATTATTAGCAGAGTTGGGCAGTACCGCGAATACTTGTATCTAAGATACAAGATCCTTTTGTATCTTGTACTCAGTATCTTTTTGAAAAGTATCTTGAATCTTTTTCATTTTTATTTTCTTGACAAAAGATACAGATACAGATTCTTTTAATATTCATGTTTAAAATTTTACATATCACAGTATATCTTTTATTTTCTTCGAAAATCTTGTATTAATTTCCTTATTTTCTTCGAGAATCTTGTATTAATTTCCTTATTTTTTTACAGCCAAAATTATCTGGAAAATTTACCACTCATATTAAGCTTGAAAGATAAAAAAAATAACAACACCAAAAAGAAATGTGTATATTATATGTTATATATAAATGTAACTCGATAGAATATCATTACCAATTTTATGTAATATTTTTAATTTGTAGGATGATCACTCATTGTAGGGAAATTTAATTTATAAAAATAATTTCCACTGAATCATATCCCAATATTATGAAAATTTTTTTAAAATAGAAGTTAAAAAAGACTTACAGACTAGATGTAAAACCTGTTTAACCAAAAAAATGATAAAGGGTTAAACACAATTTTGTTAAACATTATAAAGTATATTATTTATGTGTAGTTAAAAGGGGCATAGGTTATCTTAAAAATTTAAGTTTACAATATTGTCTACCTTTATTAAAAGCTGCCCAAGGTGGTATAGGCAAAAGATTTTAAGAGAATATTTTCCTATGATTTGATTATGTGGCTTTTTTTGACATCAATATCACATCCATATTTTAATAACTTATGGATTAAGTTGGATAATAAAAAAAATAATAATAAAAGAAGCCCTAAATATAGTACCAGAGTATATAATCAAGTTTAAACTATAAAACCAATAGATTAACATCTAATATAGAAAATGTTGATTATTTTTCTTTTGGTGAAACAAATGGTGCTGAGTTCAATAATACAAATAACATTGAGCTGGAGTTTTTAAATTATATTAAGTCGAAATGTATCATAAATGCTTAATTATCCTTCCATTAAGGAAATTTTTTATAGATATAATACTGCAAAACCTTTATAAGCTCCAATTAAGGTTATTTAGTTTTGGTAAAATGTTAAGTACGCCATGTAAAAGTCTAATGATAATTTATTTCAAAGGTTTGATTCTTATAATGAATATATTTTAAATATTCTGCAAATTAATATTTCAACTCCCATTAAAAATACGAGTCTCTCTTCTCATTCTATTCTAAGGATGGGCTAATACTAATATTATTAAAATGCCTAATTATTATAATTAACTCATTATTAAAGGTTTTATTAATTATTGTAAATATTCATTCTTATTATATGTGTATGTTATGTTCTTCACAAATAAATAGTAAAAACTGTATTTTATAAGCTATTCTATTCTAATTTAATTGGTAATGATAATTTAAAAGTATCTTGTATTTAAGATACTCTAATTAAGTAAAAGATACAAGTATCTTTTATCTTGTATCTTTTTGATATTTTTTAAAAGATACTAGTATTTGTATCTAAGATTCATTTTTTCACAAAGAATCTGTATCTAGATTCCTTTTCAAGATGACCTGCCCAACTCGGATTATTAGCTAGTGTCAATAATTTTTACCCATCTTTGTAAAGAACTCATATAAAATTTTAAACAGTAAACCTTCAATTTTTTTTATACGCATAATTAATAGAAGGTTAACTTGATAAATGTTTTTAGATTTAAATAAATTTATTTAAAAAAATTGTGTGAGATATAACAATTTTAAAATTGGCATTAACCATACCTATAATCATTCGCCTTTATTTTTCATTTCACCTCTCTCGGGTTACCAAGTTTTCGCCATGGTAATTTTAAGTTGAAATTAATTACCAAATTTTTTAATAATTATTTAAACCTGTTCATTGATTCTTTATTCGCTAATATAAAAAAAATTGAAGAAAAAGAAGTTGATCGATGGGTCTGGCAACCAATCTAAGAAGTTTAAAATTCTTGCCCGAAGTCGTCTTTCGCCACCTCCCATTGATGGACCCTCTTCCCTTTCCGACCAATCGGAAGAAACCTCCGATGATGACATTACCCAGACGCTTGATCAATCACGAGACTCCAATTGTGAGTATGATTCGGAACACGACTCAAGAATTGACATTACCAATGACGTCACGAATAATGCTGATAAGCTAAACGATATCGACGGTACAGAAGGCGATTTGCTGGAACCGAAAGGCCTAAAGGGTGTCGATGAAAACTTCAATCCTGAATCTGGCACTTATAATGAAACCCAGAAAAGTGATGACAAGCACAAGAAAGGGAAGATAAACGAGAAAGTCCCCCACGAAGTAAAGATTAACGGTAAGGGAAGTTCGGGGCTAGGGGGTAGTAGCAGGAAGAAGAGAGTCGCCCTTGTCAACACAGGGGATACCAAGAGGACTAACATGGCTCACAGTGATAAGAAACGATCCTTTTACAGAAAATTCAAAGTAAAAAGTTTTTTTGTGTTTACCAATTTTTCTTTTGTTATCTTTTTTTTAAAATATTCTCAAAAACACTAAAATAATTTTTATCACAAAATGTTCTGAATTTAATTTAAAAAAGGATTATGTTATTACTTATGTTGTATTTTTGTAAATTGAAATTTGAGTAGTTTAATTTAGATTTTATTTGGCCTCGCAAGTTTATTATATCAAAAAAAAATATAGGATAATAAAATATTACTTTTTCAATTGATTAGAACCCATTTAAATTGTAATATAAAAATAAATTTCGAATATCTTTTGCCCAGATAACTTTTTCATTTTTAAGGGTTCTTCTCATTTTGAGCAGAAAATACATTATAGGTAGTTATTGTTATATTACGTCACTTCACCCTATCTCCTAATTTCATTATTCTGGCTTGATCGACTTTCAAAAGGCTTGCAAAAATTAGTAAAATAAGGTTTTACTTGATACAATAACATTTGTTGCCTTACTGTTTTGGCCAAAAACGGTGACGGTTTTGTTCCAGGAAAAATCTTGAAAATATATATTGTTCTTTCTCTATTCAACTCTTTTTCCTTATTATTTAAATTTAATTTAAAAGACTATCATTTATATTTGGGCTTTGTGATAAGTAAAAACTTGTTAAAAAAGCACATTTCAATTCATTCGACTACACAAGGACACGTAATTTGATTAGTTTATTTACTATTTAATTTTAAAAAATCTTACCGCAACCTTTATCTTTTACAGAATGATCCTTTTAACACTTCATTGGATAGAACCACAAAAAACATCGAAATAAAATTGATAGATATTTCGAGATTGACAGGTGGCGACCTCATCAAAACAGAGGCATGTTCTTCCACATCTTTAGCTGCGGCTTCGAGCCCTTCCAATGAATTACAAGTAAAAAGGTTCATTCGATTAATTGATTCATTCATTTTTACTTTTAGGACATTCAATCCAGAAGCTTGAAGCTGGGATTTCTCGGCACTGGTATAATGGGAAAACAAATAGTGCACACTCTTTTAAATGCCGGACATCAAGTTTGCGTGTGGAACAGGGATCCAGCCAAGGTTATTTGTTTTGATTTTATTTATGCTGAAGTTGATAACGATCCTTTTTAAAATGAGCTAGCTCCAGCTCCTACCACTTCAAAAGGAACTCCCTCCCGCTACTTAGTTTTTAAAAGGAACGCAGCTCCTGTTATAAATTTTAAAAGAGGAGCTTCGTCAATATATAAATATAATAATTTTGCTAAAGCATGTTACTAATTGCAGATTTATATTACTTTATGTACAATTATTTAAACAAGATAGGCATCGCCAATAAAATGTAAGGAGGAGTAAATACAAATATGGCAAGTAGGCTCTGAAAGCAACTGTAGAAGAAGTTGGACATTTGTCCTAAAAAAATTACTAATAAATATTAAATGAAGAAATATTTTGGACGAAAAATTTAAAACTTCTTTAACATTTAGTTATCTTATTGTTTTAAGTGAAAAGGATTAATGTACTTTGACCCTTGTAAAAAACGAAATGCTTATTTTGGAAAACAGAAATTCAATCATGCCATTTTTATAATTTATCTAACTGAAGAAAAAAATTAAAGATACGTTTGAAAATGAGAAAACAATCCAAATACATGTGCTCTCACTGCTGGTCCCTTATTGGATCCCCAATATAATGGGAGTATCTTACTAGTAGTAAATTTGATGAAGCATGTATATAATTTAAGAATTAGGCATTTTACAAGATGATGATAATTAAGATATTATGTGATATCATAAATTTTAGAAGTAAAAGCGGCGATATATTTAATGGCCAAAATATGTGGAAAGCAGTAACTTTCATAAAAAAACAATCTGATTTTGTTCTCAAGTTGTTAGAATGAACTTTGCCTACCTTGAACATTAAGAGAAGTGACTAATATAATATCTTACTAACAATTCCTAGTTATACTTCTTTTTCAGAAAGAAATTGGTCGGTTTGGGGTAATATTCATACGAAGAAAAGAAATCGACTAAAGATCTCGATAACCAAAAAATTAGTATGAGTATATCATAACTTATTTATTAAAAATATTAAAGTAAATTATAATATTGAATAAAAATCCGAACAAAACTTTGTCATGGAGAGCAACATTGATTAAAGTAAAAGAATATAATTTAATATCACATAGATTTATTTTTTTACTATTATATATAAAATAAAGTTTTTGACCGGCAAATGCACAACCCTGATATATTTTATTCAAAAATTTATAATTTTTTATTTGCTTTTAAAAGTAGCAAATTTTCTAAATTTTGAATTTGAAAAGCAGCCACGCCTCTTGCCTAAAACCTGTTTAGCAATACTAAACAAGATCCGCAGGAGCATATGAGGGGGGGGGGATATGTATTTAATAAAAAAAATTTTTAAATCGTTATAATTATAAAATATATATATTGTAGTATTTGTTTGTTAAGAAATTTTTGTCTATTGATTGAATCCAAGAAAATCTTTTAAATCATTGGATAGTAATTTCGGTTTAGGTATTTTTGTGTTAGGAATTTGTTTTCTTATAAAATTAATTTATTTTTTAATTCTATACTTAAATCCCTGCTTATTGCCAATTTGAATGCAGGATGGATAATAGTAGCAATGATATTATCATTTATAAACAGTTGAAAATCTGTTATAAAGTTATTTTAAACCTTTTATCAATGCCTCCTATAAGAGACTCTACAAGTAATTTACAAACTCTATATCTGTAAAACCATTTAATTTTGAAGTGAGTCTAGAAATAGTTGTAATTAAAAACCCCGTATTCATTGAAACTCCTTCAAGGATCTTCAAAGTTTTTGCAAAAGGCTCCATAACCTAAAATATATTCATCTCGAAAAAATACGATTTTAATTAATATTCATTTAGGAGTTAAAGCTTATAAGTCCTCGGTTATAACATAAATGATCAATTTTTCACTTAATATTTTATCTATCAATACGATAGATTCAGAAAATGATTTCCATCCGGTAGTATATTTATTCATATCAAATATCTTCTCAATTTTTAAATATTTTACCAGCCATATTTATGGACATATTTTGTTTATTTCATAAAGATTTACACCTTTGAAATGAGCCTAGGGATACAATTTTAAATCTTCTATTTTCTAAAGCTTTCTCCACATCAACTGTGACCACTAAATTGATTTGATGGCAGGTAGTACATTAATGTTATGAAAAAAATCAAAAACTTTCCCCTCAGAATATCTATTTCAGAACTTTATTCTTAAGCATTCCACTTCTTTTAGAAAAGAAAAATATTTCTTATAGGCTGGAAATGGAAATTCTATTCAATAGTTTTTATGTTTTATAATTAGGGTTTAAAAAAAAATGGAAAGATAAAAAAAATTGAATAACAATTCGGTTCAATATTTAATGTAATCAAATAGTTTCATTAATTTAAATAAATATATTATTTTTATTATATTGAAAAAATACATTAAGATTATGTTTTAAATAATGTATGCAATTGTTATTCAATATACAATTGAGAAACTTTATCAATTAATTTGATCAATATATTATATATTTCACAAATAATTATAATGATATAAATTAATAACAATCAAACATATTAATAATAAATATTATAAATAACAATTAATCATATTAACCTTTAATTACTTTTCAAAGTTAATTTATCATTGTAATTTAATCTATTACAACAATAAAATTAAAGGAGCTAGCTCCCGCTTTTTTTTTAAAAAAAGCCACGCTCCAAGTGATTTTGAAAGATGCGCTTTTTAAAAACACTGTTGATTTGTTTTTAGATCAATAAAATGATTTTAAATGTGAAAAAGGGTAAGGTTCACATTTAGGAGATCGGTCGCGATTTAATTTTTTGATGAATATTGTTACTATAGGGATATTGATAAAATGAAAGATCAATAAATAGGCTAAGAAATATAGGGGAATGAATAGAGCAAACTAATATTAATGGTGTTTGAAAAAAAATTGGCTTGGGGTTAGTGTTATTAAACGGCTATTTTTGAGCCGGTTTTTATAAACAGCTAACTCAATATTTTATCCAGGCAAATATTATGCAAGTCTTCAGATTTTGCTCATAGATGGCACAAAGGTTTGAACATCTATTAACGAAATCTCTAAGCTTATACCATATTTTTCTAGCTAAAATATTGAGTTAGCCGTTTTTGAAAATCGGCTCAAATCGAGCCGTTTAACAATACTATTTGGGGTAGGGGACTACCACGTATTGTTAAACGACTCGATTTAGCAACTTTTAACCAAAATAATATTACGAAAGCCTCGAATTTCGTTAATAGATTTATAAATCTTTCTTCCATCTATGAGCAATATCCCCAGGCTTGTGTAATATTTTTTTGGCTAAAATATTGGGTTAGACGTTTTCAAAAATAAACTGTTTAACGGCACTACACGGACCAATAAATTTAATAGAATTCACTTCCAACAATTATGACATCTTTTTCTTCAAGATCAATACTCTTATTAACTGGCGTCAACCTTTAGATATATCACATATGATTTCCTGCTATGAATTTTTATATATTCTGTCTTTTTTTGAATACGCTAATTTTTTTTAAAATATACATCGCCATTTTTGAAACCACTATAAGATTAATAAACAACTCTTACACAGTCTAGCATATGAATACTTTTTTTGCTTTAGCTTTGCTATGCAAAAATGTGAAATCTCGAGTAGGGCTGAAGGGATATTAATTATCGTTGGCTCCGATATTGATATATTATGGAAAATATCAGATTGGCCAATATTTTCTATAATGCCTATTAAACCAATTTTTTAATCCAACCCCCCCCCCTCCTCCAACTGGAACCTCTCTCTTAACGATCGGGTGGAAGGAAAAAATAACGTGATTTTTTTCAAAATAATAATATTTTTATAAGAGTTAGAATTTTTGGCCTCCAAAAAAATGTTTTTTTCATAAAAATTAATAAAACTTTACAGAAGCATAGCTACCATAAAATAAATGGCTATAAAAAAATATAAAAATTATTTTTTTATAGTAAAAATTTAATTTAAATCTACAGGGTGCTTATGTTCCTCAAATATATTTACTCAAGGGTTTAAATTTCTAGGGACGAAACTTCGTTTATTCACTCATTACATTTTAACAGATTTTGGAACTGGAATCAGAATCCTCATAACCGGAACAACCTTTTTAATAAGAGCAGGAACTCCTTTTTAGTCTAGGTTTATAACTGATTAAATTTTTATTTAAACGTATTTTGTTTTTCGTCACGTCATCATTAAAAAAATTGTTAAAGATATAAGTGAATAAGATAAATTTAATGTAAATTCTAATCTTTTTCCAATATGTTACATGGTATTCAAAATCGTTAAAATGAAGCATGATTTAATGCATGAAAAAGCATTTTAGTTTCATTTAAATTTACGAAGAAATTAATTCAATTACCGATATAGAACGGTGTGGAATGGGGATAACGATCCTCATGGTCAAAACCTTGGCCAACGGGTCTGGAGTCAGAGCGGACAACTTGTGCGCTAAATATTTTTACAAGGGTTAAAATAAATTTTAATAAGGGTTCGAACCCTACTGATCTATAGAGAATATGGCTTTCAAGGAGAGTAGAGTGCAAAGAAAAGTATTGCAAGGTGGGAATAAATCTAGGTTTATTGCCAAAAATTTGTTCTATTTCATGAAGAGGTTAGTTAGTCCATGTTTATTTTTGAAACAGATCAATTAGGAATATTTTAATCGATGGCGAAATTTAGCCCAATACAAATATAAAAATAAATAATTTTATACGAGTTCGCTTATAGTGATGAATACCTAATATTCTATAAATTTACTCCTGCCTCCATCCCAAATTATTCCATATAAAACGAACTTTAAATTGACCAAGAAAACCCTTCCCTTCCTACATTAATCTTGATTAAAAAATTTTTATTTAATGTTTGAGAACGAAGTAACAAATAAATAAACTAAAGTTTACAATAAATTTTAACGAATAGAACGATGAAATAATATTAATAACAATTCATAAAATTACATTAATAACTTAATAATTTTTTTTGAAAAAAAAAATAATTTAAAGAATAATAATTCAGAATTAAAAATAATTGAGCAAAACTTTTTTCATTTTTTATAAAAAAATTGAAACGCAACGCGAGAACTTAAAAAAAATGTTTCACAAATTTTTTATAAAAGTTATTTTTATTGATTGGAAATGTATTTCTTGATATTTGATTTTTTCCCCTTAATTTAAATTCTAGTAGTGCTTTACATTATAATCTTTATCAATCGATCATAATATATATTCTTTAATTATAAAATTATTTTATTTTAATTCATTTAATTTAAATTTATAATTAAAATATAAATTTTTTTATCACAAATCTAACTAGATTATCAGGTTTGTGTTTTTGAATATTTAAGCATTCATTTTCAATTTTAATACTTTTTAAATTCAAAAAAAAATTGAATTAATATTTTAACCGGAATAAATAAATCCGCACATTATTTCCATTTTTATTTTATAATTTATCAGCACAGTCTTCAAATGCTAAGATAATGATTGAAGTTTGGTTTCTTTTTCAATCAGTATCACTATCTGACTCCAATTTTGCGAGTGGGGCATACTCGCACTTTATTTTGTGACCTGTGCTATTTGTGTTAACGCGTTGGTTATCGTAGTTATAATTGGTTTCCATTGGCGATATGCGCAGTTTTTTGTTTTGATGAGATCCGTAGAGATTATCGTTATATTTGTATAGACTTGTGCTCACTCGAGGGGTATTGTTGATTTTGAAAGGTATGTTTTTGCAGTTAAATTCCGCATTGTTGATATTAAGTATAATTTCTGATTCCAAAGAATTTTTTATACCAGGGGTAGATTTTTCGTCGCCCGATGTTAGATTAGAATAAGTATTTGGAGGTTCACTTCCATTTAATTGATTAATTTGTCTATATGAATTATTCTTGAGCTCGATTGGGGACTTATGATTATTCGAAAGAATTTGCTTTGAAATACCATTGATAAATTCCCCTTTCATGTCAAAATTTTTATCCCCATTAATCTCGACAGACACTATTTTAGAAGCTATTCGGTCAAGGCTAGAGTTGATGCTGCCATTTTTATCGGAAACCGATTCGCTTACCTTGTCACTTAGCTGCTTTGTGATTTTATCTTCGCTATAAAAGATACTATTTCGAGTCATGAAAATGTGATTCGCTTTATCGCGATCTCTTATATTGTTATGGTCGAGAGTGAATGATAGACTCGCCTCAATAACGCCCGGTTCTGAACCGGGATATTCGAATAGCTTGAGTCTGTCTATGTCGATAGCCTCCAGAATTTGCATAGCACGGTCCCAAATGGCTCGAATAACAAGCCGGGATTGGTAGAAAAAAGGGTCTGCTGGGGTTTTGGGATTCATGACTTGATAAATTAAATAAAAAAGATTAAAATTATAATTAGATATGTTAGGTAATCAACTAATATTTACAATGTAGTAAAATGCAATTTAAAATTTTATCCTAAGTTTCTAAATATTTACTTTTAGGCTCGGGCAGTAAAAATGTAACTTGAGTGCTACAACAAGGCATTGAGTCGTTGGGTGGCGTTGTATCGTATGAATCATCATTGGAATTGGGATAACTAGTAATCCGATTAGGAATTAATATGAAATATAGATGTATCAGTTAAAAAAAGTGATTATGAATCAACTAAAAAATATAAATGCGAATCATATAGTAGATCATAGTGGTTTCTTGAAATTTTTTTAAAAAAAACTAAATGACAAGCGTGATTTAAAAAAAAAACTATCATAACTTATTTAAAAAAAACCAAAGCTAAGTTTAATTACATGTCATGACAGGTTGGGTTAGGTGGATCGAAGGAATGTCGACAGTTGTCTAAATTCATCATTTCTATCATTTCAGCTATGCTTTTGGCCTTGATTTTATATTGCTCTCTCAACTTTTCCATTTGCATGTACGTGAACCCATTTAATTTATCGACTTGGTTGCTGTAGCTCTCTATCATTTTTTCGATCTTTAATTGTAAATTAAGTTTAATTATAGTACACTTGGTATTAATTGTAAAGCATAATATCATTGTTAAGTAGTTATTATAATGGGAATATTTAAAAAGTAAAGAATTCTTTTATAAGCGATTTATATGCTTCGTTATAGGCATCCACATGATATCGAACAGCCCAGGGCTCACTTTTTGAAATACTCCCCCCCCCCACCCATTCATGATGCTTGTAATATAAATATTTAAAACGTTATAACAAATCATCTCATCTTTAATTTAATTACTTAAAAACACTTATTAATTCACCTGAAGAGAAGTGTATTCCCTTAGCCTGTGCACCTGAGAAGTCAAGTAGGTCTCTTTGAGAGAACCGACTCCTTTGATGTAGGTTCCACAACGATCTTTGACCTGTTCCCTCCATCTTTCCATCACATTTTGTTGCTGGGTGTAGCATTTTGATTCATTCGTTTTGAGAGTGGGGAAATCTTCCGGGCTAGGTGAAGATATATTTTGCCCTACACTTATGTATTCGAGAGTGTTTAGACAGCTGTCCCTCAATGTTTTGAGCTGGTTCATGTAATAGGTCCTCAAATTTTCCACCTATTTTTGTTAAGAGAAATTAAATTGCTTTGAAACTATAAAAAATAAGTTTATAAATCATAACTAAAATGGAAAGATATAAATCTATAGAAAAAAATACACATTCAGGAAATGCTTGTAAACATGTTAAAATTATATGGGAGTAGATAAAATATTGAAAAGAGAAAAAATAATTTATTCCTATCGAATTATTTTAAAAGAAAAATAGCTAAAATGAGATTTTGTTTTAACAAAAAGAATTTAAATGTTTAGCGAGTTACAATCAGCTTTCGGTTTCTAATGGCCAATGCGATATCTGGTGCTAGTGTTGTTAAAAAGCCCAATTTAGGTCGATTTTTTAAAACGCAGAGGTCCAAACCTTTTTTACTCTATGATCAAAATCTCCAGGCTTACTTAATATTATTTACCGTTGTACAAGTTGTTAAAGAAAAATATAAAATTCGAATGGCAAAAGGAACAAGGTGCAAGTTTTAAAATGCTTAAGATAAGAATGGTAGATAAACCTCTTTTGAATTGTTTTAACGAGGATTTAGATCAAAATTAAATTTAAACCGCAAATTATTACAAAGAATTAATAAAAAAATTGAAAAGGTCTTAAAATTTCCAATTTTTTAATATATTATAATGTAATTTTATTATAATAAAATCTTAATAGGGCATTTTTTAAAATTAGACCTAAATCGACTTTTTAATAATATCTGGTGCATTATCACTTATGATTAAAGTGATTTATTTTATTTTTAATATTCATCATAAGTAAAGTATATTTTTGTTTAGTTTATAGTAATTTATTTATTTGAAAAAAATATTTTATCATTGGTTTAAAGGATAGGTTGTAAATAAAAATCAATCTAAATAGCTTTTATCAAATCTTTGAGGATCCGTAAAGCTCTAATAATAAATTACTACAAAACAAAATGAAAAGGATAGCCAAAATTAATACAATCTTAAACAATATTACTTCTCTGTAAGTCTGCTGCTGCAAAAGCCGTATTAACTCCCCGAATTTTCTATCTTGTGCACGTCGACGAATGCATTGACAAGCCCGCACTAGTTTAACAGTGTATACAATGATGACGCTAGCACATAGAAAGATCAGCGAAGCTCCAAAAGCTAGAACTATACTGCTCCTCCACACCTTAATTTTGGTAAAATATAGTAAAGCCTGTTCATCTCTAAAATGATTTTTTAAAATAGCCCCAGAATGATTATTTCTGTATTATAGATTATTTAATTCTAATATTTATACAGACAAGGGCCTGGTAAAAAAATACAATGGTTAATTTTCCTAATCTTTCTTTTATAACATCTGCCAATGGAATATTACAATTTTTTTTAAAGAAATTTATTTTTTAAATATTTATATAACTAATGCAACATTATTTTAGTTGATATAATAAATTATAATTACTTGCACAAAAAAATCATCCCCCAAAAATATTACAAAATCGGCACCTTTTTTAAAAAAAGTGCGCGAGTTTTTTATTCCCGCCAAGTAACAACTGTACAATCCAATATCAGCCCTTCTGAGATGATTGATTCTAAAATTAGATCCATCTATCTGATTTTCGTTACCTAATGTATGAAATTGAATATTTAATAATCGTGATAAACATATGCACCATTTGCAATTCAAAAACCTCTTTTTTCAATATTAATGTAGATTTGAATATTTTACTAAAAAGGTTATATATTGCAAAAATAAAAATTAGTTTTTTTCCAAAATAAAAATTTCTCACAACCTGAATCAATAGAGTGGTTATTTTTAAAAGATAAAAATATATTGATTAATATAATACCTCTGACGCCTAAATCGAAAATGTCTATTATTCTTCGCATCCTAACGCGTCCTTTGGTCAAAAAGGTTCCATCTTTAAACCAAAATACGTTTAAAAATATTTCGGAAATGTCAGGCTCTTCATGGTTCTTTTTATCGCCATTTTGAGTTCTCATTAAGACATCATTCCAATTGTGGCGTGGTGGCTTTAGATCGAAAAATGATGGTGAGGATACAGGCGGTTTTACCTGAATTGGGCCAGACCACTTAATTAGTGGGCTGTCTACGTATTTTATTTCTCGCCAATATGCTTCGATCGAGTTTTGGTGAACGGGGCATTCTATTTGAACTTCTTGGCCCACGGTGATTTTAATTAACACCCTGGGTTGGTTAGGTTGGGCCTCTTCTATATTAGCTTTTTTGAACATTTCTCGGGCATTAACCCTTCTTTTGGAATAGTTATACAATTGATTATTTTCAAAGTAATCGTCTAATAACAGACGCGCGATAATTTCGTCATCTGGATATAATTTTTTTTTAAGCCTGGAATTAGAGGTTGGACAATCACTGAATATTGACTGGCCAGCTACGGTGTTTCCGGGTTCGACGTTCAGTAGATGGCGCATCTTGGTTCCTAGGGTGCGGAACTGTTGTCGAAATTTGTTGTAAAAGATGAGAAGCGAGGATGTAGTATTACTATTCACCGGAATAATTGGAACATCGGAGCTCGTTCTTAAAATTATTAAATGTGTAAAGGTGCAAGATAAATTTAAAGACAGAGTAAAGCAAGGAATTACTTCTTTGCTTCCAGATTTATCGGATTCGATGGTGTTAATGGTAAAACTAGAAGGGTTCCATTTCGAGCAGGTCCTCTAAGCCAATTACCGAAAACATACCGATGGAAAACACTAATATCATCTTTTCCGTCATTATCAGTTTGTTCGGAATTATCGCAGACTTCTTTTACGAACCCAATATCGGACACATCTATCCATCTAGGTTCAGAGGAGTCATATGCTTCAGGCAATCCTCTCAAAGCTTCTAATAGCCTTTCATAATTATCTGTTTTCATTTTATAATATAATTAACAAAAATTACCATTTAAAATTTTTCAGGGATAAACCAATTATATCTGATAGGTAAACTATTTAGATTTCTCAAGAATATCGGTTATCGATTATATATTTCAAATTTGTTTTACAAAAAATTATTTACTTTGGGTGTATATTTTATATTACGACTAAAATTATTTTTCATGATAAATCACTTAGCTAAAAAAATTTTTAACCTTCAAGCATATATACTCATTACCCTTCAATTTTTATGAAAACTTAAAAATTAATACTTTTATAACTGCCAACAAGGGTCGAAGTGTTCCACCCAATCCATTTGAGTCCTTTCAAGCTTAAATGGGTTAGGTGAGTCAAGTTGGAAAACGTGAGGGGGCTAAAAGCGCTTGCTCGTAGAAAGTTGTAAGAAAGGTCCAAAAATTTCAGATAACTGAAATAGGGTTTAGGAAATGAAAGGGCAGGTGGTGATCTCCTTGATTGTGATCTATCATTGGTGACATTTGAAAGAGATAAAATTTCCAAGCTAGGAGTTAGTGACGTTTTGTTACTTATATTAAGGCTTGATCCTTCATATAGCCCACTTAATTCCAAGTTAGTATTATGATCTAATACGAGCCGGCCTAATCCTATCAACTTTTGCAAGCTATGCAGGTTTGTCAACCTGTTTTGGCTCAAGTCCAAATCCTTCACTAAAATTTGTCGCCAGAATTTATTGTCTATATAGGAGATTTGATTAGCTGAAAGATTTAAACTTATTATCATGCGCCTCAAAGTATAGTTTGTGAAGAGACTTCCACTCAATGATTGGAATGAGTTATGATGAGCTAATACCTTTATTGGGACCAGTCGCGTTGCGTCAAAATCTTTATCGAAATTAATGTCAAATTCTAAAAATAAAATATGAAGTAATAATTTTACAAAAGGTTGTAAAACATTTAAAATAAATATGACATGTGCAAAATCATTTTATATAATTTTAACAAAATTATGTCTCATAAAAAATTATTTTTACCATTTTCATTAACGTATTGTTGTAAGTCACCATTTAGTCTTTCCAAATAATTGTGACTAACATCTAAGACTTCCAAATCTGGGAAAATTCCAATTAATTTCTGCACATCTATTTGTTTTAAATAATTGTAACTCAAGTCCAATATTTTGAGTTCCCTTTTTACACCATCATTGGAAGCGTTACGATTATCATCATATCGGGTTACCAAATCAACATTATTGCCAAGGTTATTAATCACTTGAGTTGAAAAAAAGTAGGGTATATTATTCCGCGACAAATTCAGGATCTTTAAAGATGGTAGAGCATTTATAAAATCTTCAGATACTTTAGAGATGTTTAAATCAATTAGTCTTATTTCAACGAAATTACTATTTTCAAAGCCATTGTATATTGCATCATCACCAAAATTGGTAAAATTATCATAACGGAGAGTGGTATTTGCATCGCAATTGATGGCCAAGTGATGATTAAAACTGTTTAGTGATAAATCATTTGATGGGAATGGAGACAAAGAAGAACAGCTAACAGTTTTGGATGGATCCCTGAGGCCAAAGTATGATTGGACACCTTCAATCAAAATAAGAAATGAGCTGATCAAGGTTATAGTTGCCAGAATGAGAATGAAAAAATTCATTTAATTATCTTTGTGTTTAACCAACTCCGCATGACATAACACTTGATGAATAAATTCATGGATTGATCATTCTTAATTTATCTTGGTAATATATATTCAGGTTATAAATTTTATTCTTTTAAATTTGTATATTTTATTTATTTTCTTCAAAAATCTCCCTAGGGTTTTACAATCTTAACATTCTTTCGACCTTTATTTTTCATCATATTACTATAAAAATTTAGAGTATTTTAATTTGTAATATAATCAATAATATGATGGGATTTTTTTTCATATAACTTTTTAAATTTTCAGTGGACATAAAAAAAATATAAGATCTTAAATTATAGTTTCAAAACAAGAAAATTATAAAAGAAGAAAATCGAAACATAAATACTTTCAGACAGGTTCATAACAGTTTTTGAAATTATATTTTTAAAAAAAATTAGTATAAATTTATGTGGTTATGTTGGGTTAATTTATTATTTTATGGTTGTTTTATCATAAAATAAAGAATTTTCAACTTAACTTCTTTAATGTTTATTTGGTTTTTATTTTTTTTTAAATATTTTTATAAGATTACTAGATATCAACAAAATATACGATAATCAATTTTTTTCAAATCCAAAGCTTATAAAAACCGGGATAAACCGAAAAACCAGATATTAATTTGTAAGCTATAAATTCGTTTAAAAATAAAATCTGAATGAAACTAAGTCCTTAATTTCAGAACCGGAATTAGTGTTGCTAAAAAGCCTAATTGGGTCTATTTTTAAAAACAGCCCAATTAATTAATATTTTAGCCAAAATAATATGCAATCCTCAAGATACGCCAAATAGATGTCAAAACAATTTGTCTTATCTATGAGCAAAATCTCTAGGCTTATATTATCTATAATCTTAATTGCGCCGTTTTTAAAATTCGACCCGAATTGGGCTTACCGTAATGGAATTGAACCGTTTATCTGAAATTTTGTACTCTAATGTTGGAATACGATCTGATTCCGATGTAAAATCAAGCCTTTCATTTAAAAAAAAAGTAAGCTAGATGATCTAAGTATTTAAAAATTTGGTAAAAACTTGGTTTATAAAGCACTGTCTTGAATTTGCTAAACTCTTACGACATATATGACTTAAAACTTTATATTTAATATAATAGTAATTATTTATTTATCTTAATAAATATGTTTAAACATGGCTTAAACAAGAGAGATTTGGGGTCCCTCCCCCCCCCCTCGAAAATATGATGAGGTAAAATTTTGTATTTTTATAATTACATCTAGATGATAATTAGCCTTTTAAATTGATAAAGCCCACTTCTTAATTTTAATTTCTATAAAATCATCTCAAAAATTTCTTCTATATAAAAATGAGCATGAAAAATAAAAATCTATATAAATAATATTATAGGCACATTTATATAAAAATTGAAAAACTAGATGCTTCTATAATTCATATGGATTTGATCTTTCTATTATAGATCTGGGAAATGTCTGAAAATTTTTTCTACAGGCCAGGCAAATTTTTTTTGTATATATATTTGATGAATTCTGATATTCATGGAAGTGAAAATTCATAAAGTAGTGTTTTTTAATATAACCATTCCCCAAGATTAGAAATAATTGTTTATTTTGTTGTTAACATCATATATTTTGGTTTAGGCTTTGTATCTAAGAAAAAAAATAAATAAAAACCAGCCATGCTACCTTGGTAAAAAATTGAAACTGGGTTAGATGAAAAATTTTCCAAATCAAGTACTAAATTCCTGCTGGATAAAAATTTTGTCAATTGTAGACCTCTGCTTTTTATTTCCAAGTAAAAGCACACTTATTAGTATTACTTTGCTAAGTGATTGCCAACCATAACAAGTGCTTGAGAGCAAAAAAATTTATTATTATCATTTTCTATTTCACCATAATCAATCCATCCTATTTTGGTATCACATTTTCAAAAGATGCCACAAGCTTATATTTATAGTTCACAAAATTAATTGAAGTAATGAGGGCACTAAATATTAATATGAATCTGTAAAATATTATATCAATTAAAGATGAAAGGATGTATTAAAAAATTTCTTCGATATTTTAAGGAGGGAGAAGCTACTCTGTTCTTCTTCCTGGATACATTAATTTACTATTGATGAATTCTATGATTCTAATTATTTCAACATTTTGATCTAAATTTATTATTCCAATAATCAATATTTCAATTATTCTTTCATGATATAAATTCTTAACAAAAATTTATTGACATGTGACATGGATTGTTAAATATTATAATTTAATGTCTTTTCTATTATGTCACGAATTCTCCACTTATATTACCTACAATTTTTTTCTTATTTCCCTTAATTTTTTCTATCAAAAAATTAAAGCAATAAATTGGTTTAATATAAGTTTCAAAATTAGCTACTAAAGCTTACATTCCACTAGTGTTGTTAAACGGCTAACTAGATATTTTAGCCAGAAAAATAGTGTACAAGTCTCGAGATTTCGATAATATATGTCTAGACCTTTGTTCCTACTATGAGAAAAATCTTCAGGCTTGCGTAATATTTTTCAGGATGAAAATTTGAATAAGCCGTTTTTAAAAATCAAACGAGCCATTTAACAACACTACATTCCACCCTAATAGCATAATGTAAGCTTTCATTTTGTTTCAAACTTGGTTTCTTTTTTTGCAAACTGATTGAGAAATTAATAAGTATTAGTCAGTAGGGGTGGAAACAAAAAAATCAGGAATTATTTTATATTTTCATCTGACTTAATTTTTTCTTTTGTTTTTACTAGATTTTTTAAAATTTAATATAAAAAGATAGGAAAATTACATTTTTTGTTTTAATTTTAGTTTTCTTATTTTTGTTTTATGGTTGACCAAAATTTTGTTTTTCTTTCATTTTTACACTTGCTACTTCTTCATTTAGTGACCCTTTTTCAGGATTACCTAGGCTACTATATTGGTTAATGCAACTCATAGGATTTGATAAAGCATTAAACATTGACATTTAGAATCATCCATCAACTTTGAGATGATAAAATATATTGCATATTTTTTAAAAGCAAAATAAAAACAACTACTCAATAATACCTAATCAAATGGACTCTATGCTCCCAGAAAATTCATAACACTCCCCAACTATTCCAATGCTAATAAATAAAATGTTTTATGAAATTGTTCAACAAATATAAAGGATAATGATCTATAACTAAACTAATTTATTCTTATTATATGTTCCATAAACTTATATAAAAGTAATAAATGAGTATAAAATTAATTTATTTATATCTAATTACATCTGTTAAAGGCTAGATAAAGCATTTCTGAATATGAGGTAAGCTCAATTTTTATGTAAGGAATGGATAAGATAAATTATTTATTTTTAACAATAAAATTTAAATGAGCTAATGTTAAAAATTGATAAATAATTATATTTAAAAATTTTTTTTTATAAATAATACTTTTATTAATGGAAAAAAACATTTAAATACTTCCTGGGTAACTGGAATATATCATTAAAAATATTTATTTTCAGTTCAATTAAAAAATAAGCTAAATTATTAATTGACACTTTATCCTCTAGTAACATAGCGTTTATTTATAAAATTGATATTAATGATATTTTTAAAATAAAAATAATGTAATTTGTATTAATTTAAAATTAAATAATATATTACTTATTATCAATGATATATTTTTTTTAGAAGAGTTATTATTTGATAAATTTTAAGAAATGATGCTATTAATAGTTTATCGGTAAAAACAAAATATCAGGCTCATGATCAGATCAAAATTTTTGAGGGGACCGAATGACATTAATATACTAGACTGACGATTACTCATTGAAATATATTTATAATAGATACACATACTTGAGAGTCAGCTTTAGGCGCCATTTTATGGTCTACTCTTTGATTAAATGAGATTTACGTTTTTTCGGAATCTGAGTATTTTTATATCGCTGAATGTTTTTTTACGTGATTAATCTTATTTTTTTTACCCTTTTAAAAGAACCTTTTTACTTTTTTTCAGCATTTATTAGAGTTTTTTTTAAATTAATATGCCCACATTATTTTATAACATTTTTATGGCTAATGTATAACAATAAAATACAATTTGTTATTTGTAACACTGCTAACTCTTGAGACCCTATTTATTTTAACGTATTTAATTAAAAAAATTATATACTAATTTAAACGATAAACATTAGATGTTTTACATACAAGCAAAATGGCGACCACAACTGATTGTGTTAGTGAACTTTTAATGAACGAATCGTCAATCTAAGTTACTATTTTCATCAATGGGGCAAAATAAGGTTTCGATAAACCCAAATTACCAAAAAAAAGAAATTCAATCTATAATTATCAAATAAGAATAAAATAAAGTAACTAATAAATAATTGAGAAAAAAATTAATTATAATATCTAATAGGGCAGATTTCAAGATTTTATGATGGTAAGGGGGTGGGAAGAGTTGCGTTGTTTGCCCAGCTTGGATATGAGCCTAAAAAATTTAAAAAAATTGGTCCTAATTTTTATTTATTATTTCAAATTATATTTGTTTTTTATGTAATATTTAGTTTTTTTTGAACCCTGCGTCTAAAACATCAAAAAAAAATATGCTCAGATATTTTTAAATATATATCAAAAAAATATGATAAAATGGATAATAAAAATTTGGTCAGAACATTTATTTTAAAATGTGAGCCAAATTTGTAGTATACTCTTACATATAAATGATCAATTCTTTATTTCTCACGCATCTATAATTTTACCATTATTAACTAAAGCCCAGCTGCTAGACGAGAAAATGTGCCGCATTTCCCTCCAAATATTTATTACTCCCTACCCCTTTTAGAAAGCATACCCTCTGTATATGGAAACAATTAATTATTCCTGCTCCCTCCCTCCATTTATTTGAGCTCGGCTAAATCTTGATGTGGACTAAAATTTAGTATAATTATGGAAATTTTACTTTTTAAATTTTAATATCAAATATTTTATTTCAGTTTTAAGAGTATCGCCTATATTCATTTCTCATATTTTTTATTCTTATATCATAAATTATACATCGATCTTACAATAATCAATAAAGTGATCTTTTTACCATTTTTTTTTCAATGTAATAATAATCAAATAGTTCTTTCGAAGTTAATACATCTATTAAAAGAAATTATTTACATTTAAAAATATGTGAATATAGCAATAGGGTTTATGCTCGGCTCTTGTTTTTTTTAAATTTGTTTATTGGAAATGATTTTGACTGCCTAACTTTAAGAGCTAGCAGATCTCTTGTTATTTTGGGATTTTTCTTCTTATATTTCATTTTTAAAAAGATATAACGACCTGTATTTGAGAAATGATATCATTTAAATTTAATTTGTTACAATATAATCCGAAATGTGGGGTTAATTTATCTCTACAAAAGTATACATATATTATAAATAATAATAAATTAACGTTCATGCAATAGTGTAAGGAGCTTATAAAATCGGGAGCCACTTATGGAATCACTCCGGGTGACGTCATAACATCTTGTAACATCGTATTTTGTTGCTTTTCGGAACACAACGCTCTCAGAAAGGTTTAACTAGAATACTTTTAAAAATAGCTATTTCTTACCATATCCTTTAAGCCTTAATATCAATAAATAAGAAAAGTTCATTTCAAATTATTATAAAAATTATAAACCATTAATAATTGCTATTATTAATATTTCTTTTAGAGTAGACAACTCTTATTAAATATATTTTATTTTATTACAAATTTATATCAAATTAAAATTGAAGATCGTTCTAAACGACGACGACGTCATTAAGGCGCTCAAAAGTGGCAAAGGAATAGTTAATCTCTCCACCAACACTTACAAAACTGCGTCAGATTTGGCGGAAGTTTTTTTTAAAAATAATAAATAAATTATGTTCATTATCGTAATTTTCCTTATAGTTTATTATTAGATCTCTTATTTATTTTTTAAAATATGCCAATCAATGGGATAACCGGTTTACCTGCTAAGTTGAGAAATTTTGTCGCTAAACTTATTGTCTCCCTTAAATTATTATATCTTATTCAAAAAATGAGGACTCTTGCATAAATTTTAGCAGAAATTGTTTCTAGTTTTTAAGTAGGATGCTTATTTTTGTGAGTCACATAGTATTTTTTCGAAAGGTTACGAAATAATTTAATCATACAATATTGAAAGGTAGAGAGAATACACGCAGAAAATTAATTTAACGGATTAACTATGTTTTATTCATTCAACTCTCTTTCCCAATTTTTATGGTCTAATTTATTGGTTAATTTTATTTCTTATAGAATGTTTACACGTTCAGTTCATAATTCATTGAAGGAACTTGTTCTTTCTAAATAACTAATTTATAGCTGAAATGAAATTTTAAATATTTATTAAATAAATTTAATTATGATTTAACTCTTATCCATAAATTTTTACCTAGGATTGAATGGGGTGCTAGGGGTCCAAATTTTTGTTTTGTATTTTTAGTTCATAAGCTAGATCACTGTATAGGATTTTAAGATGAAGATTACTAGTTTAAAATCACAGCAGTTTAAAGATTTGAATTAAGTAATATTTAGCTTATGAAATGATATCAAATAAATTTAGACAAATTGTTTTAATTGATTAATTTGTGTAATATTCGTTTATTTTTTTAATAAATTTCTTTCTGGATGGGAAGGGAGGCAGAATAGTTTTATTGTTGATTTCTAAATATAATTTTTAAAAAATGGAATAGCGATCATAAATGTATCATATATTTTAAAAAAAAAGGTAATAGGATCTCTCAATTCCTCTTATCTGGAGGCACCCCTGTTCGGATCCACTTCCGGTTCCAACAGTTCCCTCCTTATATTGACAGCTGGAGACGAGAATCTGTATCGTCAATGCGAACCCCTTTTCAAGCTGATCGGTCGGCCTCTATTTTTTGGTACTTTTATAAAAATAAATAATATTACTATATTCATACATTTTTTTAACAAACAATATTATCTTTAATTTTAAGATTTAGGCAAGAGGTCAGGGGAGGAAGCAAATTAAAGGAGGGGAAACAAATATATATTTATTATCGATAAATTGGGAAAAAGGGCGGGACGAAAGCTACGCCGCCAAAATGGCCCTGATAGTCAAATCGTTCCAGGGGGCGGTCATAGCAGGATTAGCTGAAACACTTTCCCTGGCCGAAAAGACCGGCATAAGGGCGGAAGAAGTTATTTCCGTCCTATCTCGTAGTATGCTGGATTGTCCTATCATCAGGAACAAGGGCCAAGGTTTTACTCAGATTTTATTGATCATTTTTTGCATAATATTTTTTTTTACCAAATTAAAATAGTCGTTCTTACTAATTATAATTAAACCCGTGTCATTTTACAAAAGAATTTTTTTTCTCTTTTGTTTTTCTTCATTGAATTCATTTATTTTTAAATAATAGAAATCATAGAGGGGCTCTTTTTGCCCTCTCTCCCACTAAAACATCAACAAAACGATCTCAAACTTACACTAGACATGGCTGACGGACTGGATCACCCCACCCCACTCTTGTCTACCGCTAACGAAGTATACACCCTTGTTAGTTAATTTGTTCTTATTATATCTTTTATTCCAAACTAATCTAGAAGATACAGCGTTATATCAAAATTGATTAATATCAAATCGATATTCTAGTCATTTTTTTGTACGCTTTTTTACCATTCTAAACTTCATATAAATTATAATTTTATTTAGCTTTACAAAAGGGCCAAAAATTTGGGTTGCGGAATGAGCGATGTCTCTTCAATCCACAAGGCATTTTATTTATGAACGAAAAAGAAAAAAAGTAGAAATTAGAAAAGATGAATTTGTTCGTTGATTTATTTTATTTTATAAAATTATCCATTTAAATTTTGTTTTGTTTTTTTATTTCTCAATTTCTTGTCTATTTTCTTATTTATACTTCGCTAAGCGCCGTCTCTTAAATTAATGTATTTTATCTCAAATATTTTAATAGATGCCTTTGCACAATACAAAATTGCTCCCTCCCTCGCCTCCCCCTAACGTTAGAATCATTTTATGCATATACAATAATACTATGGATGGTGCATCTATTCTTTCTTTTTATAATCTCCCTATTTGCCATTTCCTTAGGGAATATTAAAAATAAAATAATGGCGAAATTTTCATATTTTTTTATCATCGTTTTAATTATTAAATTATTATAGATTTTATTTTTTAAAATTATTCCTTTTTTTTTTCATCCTAAAATTTTTAATTCAAATAAATATATTATACGTCAAAAACTTGAATCATTTATAAATTATTTTGTTTTGTTATTATTTTATTATATTTAAAAAAAATAATTAATAAGTTCATATGAATTATTATCAAATTCAAGATAATTATTTTCAAATATTTTTTCGACACGCTTCGAATATGATCGATTTAATTTTTAGTAATTAAAATTATTTTTGATTATCGATTTTGATCCAGGAACATATCCAATCTTAAAATTGATGAAAATTTCCATTTTTTTTTATGAAATGATATTTTTTCTTGTACCGTTTATTGTTGATATAATATATTTTTTAAATTTATAATTGGTAATTGGACATTATATAACGTTTAGAAGATATGTATATAAAAAAATGCTATATTATAATATGTTTTTTTATTTAAAAAATATTTAGCGACCCCCTCCCCTTCCTACCTTCTTCCTCATCCAACACATAATTAAATAAATCTTTGTTATAAAGATATATACTAGTACTTCACATCATTTATTGGCTAAAAAGTACGGCTTAAATGTAGAAGTGCTCATTACCTTTTTATATGTTTTTTTTAACTTGTAAAATATTGTTGATTTTTTGTACGCCTCTTTCTACTTAATTTATTTTTGTGGTATTGTTCTGTAGATATTTTTTATTTAAAAAGAATCTGTAGATATTATTTAACTAAATAGGTATATATATATGTATATATAGTACATAATTAATAAGTAATCACTAGTTGTTGAAATTCATTATAAAAAAAACTAATAGTATTAGCATTAAACATTTTACCTTAATTATAATTATAATTTTTCCCTTCATATATATATAGTATATAATTATAAATAAAATGTTTTTGAAATTAAATATGAATCTTTTTGTTTTAAAAAATGAAAGAAAAAAAGGGACAAACATAAAGATAATAATAAAAGTTCCCCACAAAAAATAAGGAAAATTTTTATAATTTTATCATTACGGGCCGCACAGTGCCTAATATTTCAAGTCCGGTCCAGGAAAAATTTTTATTTTCCGAAAAGTCCTAACCGAAATAAAAAATTATTTGTTCACTCAGTAGGACCCGAATCTATTTAAATATAGTTAATTTTTTTCAATATAGTTTTGTCTTTTTACATTGAACATAATCCAGTTTTTGATTATTTTACGTATAAATAGAAATTATTGGCGTGTTTCTTGCAAAAAATTTAAATACATCAATTTTATTTTAAAATTTAACTGACCTGGCCTGGCCTTAAACATGCTTGAACTGGGTATAGGTCAGACCTACTTTTGCAGATATCTAATTTAAAAATTTATTAAAGAATTGAAACTTTTTTTCTACATTTTGGGTAAGTTAACATCCTAAAGAAAATATGATAATTGTAAATAGCTATCACCTAGAATTTTGAAAATTAAACAGTTGCCCTCTATCTTTTCTCTAAATATACAGGATGGCAGGTGGTTTAATCGAGTTATAATGATTGAAAGAAAAATTTTGTTACTCGCCCAACAAGCCTTTCTTTGGACATCCTTCAGTTCTCGGGTAGAGCAAGATTATTTTTGGGCTGGGCCTGACAACCTTCATAAATATTTTTAGCAAGTCAGAATTTTGTAAATATTTTTAAAGCTTGGGATTAGGTAAATTGGCATTTTTTTTCCTTTGCGTAAAAAATTAAAAAGGCACAAAATATATATTGTTTTTAAGAAATGAAAAGGGAATTCTTATTTTATATCATTTAAGAACCTTGTATGAGACGAGCCCGAAGCAAAATTAGATATTTTCAATTATAATTCAAAACATCCTGCCTCACAGATAATTTTAATTAAACATCATTCTTAATGAAATCATTGTAAAAATTCACCAATAATATAGATCCTTATTAAAATAACTCCTATTTTATTTATCTTATAACACAATCATAATAATAAATTTTGAACAAAGGAGTTCCCATCTTTATTCATATTTTCCCGAATAATAAAATTTATTGACATTCGTTTGATCTTCGACATGCATAACTTATAAGAATGTCATGATATTGAATTAAATTAAATATAAAATCTACTAATCTACATTTAAACATTATTTGATTGACATTGGATATTATATAAGTTATATATATATAATGTAAAAATACACAACTCTTTTATTTTTCACACTCATTGATAATTAAAAAGTAATCTTACTTTGATTTTACATGGAACTAGTATTGCGTAATCGGCTAAAAACTGCGCCTATTCCTAATTAGGCATAGTCTAAAAATCGGCGAAAACTAATTAGTCAAAATTTTTCATCGGCTAATCGTCCGTCAGCGTTCCGTAGGATATGCCTAGCCTTAATTACTATTTATTTTTAGTATATTTATTTGGTAACTCATTGAAACTTGTGGGAATTTTTAATATTTTTTTTTTAATATTATTTTTTATTTAAAATTAATAAATATGCGATCGTGTGGATATGGGTGGAAATTTTTTGATGTAATAATAATTCAAGTTTCGTTACTCAAAAGTTTTAAGAATTTCTTTTTTTCTCTTGTGAAAATTTTCACAATTCTTTAATTTTACATTAAAAATGGAAAAGGCGTGTTCTTTATTAAATGCTACTAAATTAGGATTATAATTTTTTTTTTGTGAAAATTTTTACAATTCTTTAATTTTACATTAAAAATTGAGTTATTATTTAAAAATTTTATTAAGGTATGTGCTTTATTGAATGCTACTAAGTTTGGGCTATTAAATCAAATACTAGATAATTAAACAATTTATTTGAATAAACATAATATATAGATATATATATATAATTCTAAGGAAATACATTAGTTCTATATAAATTTTATATCACTTAAAAATTTAGTTAATTTACTTAAATTTGACATATTCTTAATATTACGAAAATAAGTATTCCCATATCATATATATAAATAAGAGGAAGATTTTCTTCCAAAACGCTAAATACGTTGAATATAGGTCGATATATCATTTGGGTCTATCTGTTGTAATCAGAGTTGACATGTCGGTCAATTGACCGGTTAAAATCAGTCAATTGACTGGAGGAGTATTTGACCGGTCAAATTGTCTAAAATATTATTAACGATGATATAATTAACTAGTATGTATTAAAAGCATCTTTATCAATTTTATTAGGTTACATTTTATTTAAAAATATATTTGTATCATGAAGGAATCGTTTTAATAAGAATTTTATATAAAAATTTAAAAAATTTTACAATATAAAAAAAGAATTTATTTTATTACTAAGAAAAATAAATATAATAATTTAGCTGCCATGGTTTATTTTTTATTAAATTTTATTTAATATTTAGCCGAGTATAATTATATTAATTTTATTTATTTTACTTCCACTTGCTACATTTGAATTTATAATTTTCTTTTTAGTTGTTCTGGTCAGATTTACAAAATAATATTCAATTCTAGTAAAAAGTTATACATATTTTATTTTATATAATATTAAGTCAAATTATTGAAATAATTGGTCGATAATTATAAAATAATTAAGATTGATTAATTTTACAATAATCAAAATCTTTTATAGTTAAATTTTAACCAAAACATCAAGTTTGGAAACATTTTCAAGAAGTCCGATGGTAAATCAGTTAAAGCGGTATGTAGGTTTTGCAAGATGTCCTATATTACCCATATTGATAAAATAAGCATTTATTAAGCAGCTGTACTATGTGCCCTGTCATAATTAGAAATTTTTTTATTTAATTCCAAAATATCAACGTCGACAAAAAATCACACAAATTTAATTTGTAATACTTCTACCTCTAATGAAGAATTAAGTGAAATTAGTGAGAATAATTAACAAATTAACAATATTTTGCCTTATCAGGAGAATTGATTCCATTATTTCTGATCAATCTACAAGCAAGGCGATTAACTGTAAATCTCAATCTTAATAACCGGTTTCATAGATAGAATGAATCCCAAAGAAAAAAATGAGCTCGTTCAATTGTTTGCAAAGGCTGTATATGCGAGAAATTTACCTTTTCAGATCACTGATAATCCCTACATCCAAGAATTTTTTAAAAAAATATGTCCTATTTATACTTTACACAGGCAAAGGCAGCTGACTGGATATATTCCAAGGAAAGAATCAGAAGATATGAAGGCATTTGTTGCATATATAAAAATTAAATCTCCTCAATTATCAATTTTATCAGATGGCTGAAGCAACATCAGAAACGAGAGTATTATTAATTTTTGTTCCAGTATTCTACAAATTTTTAATTACTGAGGAAAATCGCCATAGGGCAAATTATATTGTCCAGGAATTTAAAAATGTAATTCAAGAATTGAATCCGGTCTTTAGTTACTAATAATGCCGCTAACATGAAAGCAGCCTGGAGAACGCTAAAATCTGAATCTATTTATAATCATATATAATGTTATGGTTGTGCAGAGCATACATTGCAGTTATTCTTTCACGATTTTGAACGATTGAACGACGTCAGTTATCATATTTCAATAATTAAAAAATGTTAAATTCTTCAAGAATATACACATACCAGCTGCAGTATTTTCCCATAATTATCGACATTAAGTACAAATAGCCAAACAAGGTGAGCATTGTCAATAAAATCTATAAAGCCAATACAAATATGTAAGAAAGCTCTGAAAGCCTCAGCTGTTGAAGAAGCTGTATGATTTGTCCCTTAGAAATCACCAATATATAAAATGAAGAAATATTTTGAACAAAAAATTTAAATTTTTTTAGCTATACACCAACCTCTTTGTTGAAAGTGCATGAGATAAATATACTTTGGACCACGAAAACGAGATGCTTAATTTGGAAAAACACATAATACAATCAAGCCCTGAGTCTATATTTTCTCCATCTGAAGAAAAAAAAATAAAGTTATGTTTGAAAAGAGAAAAAATGATCTAAAAACATGTGCTCACAATGCTGCTTATTTATTGGACCCCCAATATCTAGGGGAATCTTACTAATACTGAATTTGATAAATGCAATATTATACAAGAATTAGCTATTTTACAAAAGTGATAATCAAAATATTTTAAGTCATATAATAAATTTTAGAAGTAAAAGGGGCATATTTATTGCATTACTGCGCCATCAGTAAAATAAAATATTTTTTATAAATCTTGATTTAAAAAAATTATTTATTAGTTTGGAATAATTAAACGGTACATGCATTGTGTTTTATAAAGGGATGAAGAGTAGTCAGGTTATTATTCCAGTCGAATCCCTGAACGTGGTCCTGCGCCATAAAAGCATAATTTTCAGAAAATGAGAATTTATATTCTTCATTGCTTATCTATATTAAATAATATTAAAAACTTTAAAAAAATATAAATAACACAAATTATTATGTAACAAAATTAGGGTATAAAGATAATGAAAAATATATACTTGAAACCATGACAATTTATGTATTTGTTAAGGGTAAATGGTTTGATGGTGCTTAATAGAAATAATTTTTACAGATCCTTTATTGGCGGGATATAATTGTAATATAATTATACTAAAATAAATGATTATTAAATTAAAAAGAATATCAAGGATAGCTCTAAAGTCATCTTTCTCTTCTTCTTTGCAACCCATTTGAGGAGCATATACTGAAAGAATGTGTAGTATTGATTGACATGCAGAGTTTTATTTTCATTAGTCTATCAGAGATCCTGTTGACTTATACCAATGAGGAGGTTAGATCTTGACTGAGGATG